TTAAAAATGTCTTAAATATGATTTATCCACATCTTAAAAAGTTAATTGGATTAATGTTGTTAATGTTACTTGCAAAAAGTTGTAAAGTTGCATATTTCAGTGCCATTTTTAAATGTGATTTGGAATTTATTATCCTGTAACAACTAAAAAATGAAACCAACATGGAATCAATACTGATTTTCCTTAGTCCTTAGTTTTGCCAGTATGGACATGAAATGAAATTGCATTCATAATGTTCTTAAAAAGTCTTAAATCTACCCTGTAGAGAACTCCAGAAACCCTGTACAGAAGTCCCAGTAATATCAAGAAAATCAGTTTGATGTCAGTTTTCTTCATCTTGCATATCTTAATCTGTGTTTATCTTTGTCTTTCATTTGCCGTTGAACAGTTTTTCCCAAGGTCCTCTAAAAGACGCCCCCAACTTGATCTGCACACCCCACACCGCCTGGTACAGCGAGCAGGCGTCGCTGGAGATGAGAGAGGCCGCCGCCACAGAAATACGCCGAGCCATCACTGGTACGGAGACGTCTTTAATCGCACGCATTCCCGCATTTCGCCTTTTCCCTCAGCTCACCAGTGTCCAATCTCGCCCCGACACAGGCCGTATTCCTGACAGCCTCCGAAACTGCGTCAACAAAGAGTTCTTTGTCACCACGGCACCCTGGGGGATGATGGAGCAGCAGCAGCCTCAAGTTCACCCTGAGATCAATGGTGCCGCCTACAGGTAGGAGGTGGATTTACCCAGAAGGCTGCTCTCATCGCACAGAGATCACCTGTGTCACCTCGACACCTGCAGCAGATGAGGCTTAACACGTGGGGGAGGGGTAGTCTAGATATTCAAATGTATGTTTCTCACAATTCTGACTTTCTTTTCCTGAATATTAGGCTGGGTCCTAGTTTTTGTGGCATATTTATACGTAGAATTGGCCCAAATGAATTTAGCCCTTGTTAAGTTTAGGCTCTTCGTTTCTCAGTCTCTATATTGTCTCAACCAGAATGAACTGCTTCTCTCACACAGCCGAATGAACCAAACCATGGTACAGGCCATAGCAACGGGGGGAATGCAGGACAAATTATATACCTAATTCTCAACCAGGTAAATGAATACTACCACTGCTGGCCCACAGGCCATGGCAAATGAACAACATCATTATTAAAACCAAATTCCATTGAAATCTGTAGCCTTTGTTTCTGCTTCACATTCTAACTCACATGTGCTGTAACTGTACCCACTCTACCCAGCATCTCATCAATTCCCCAAACACACTCCCCCCACCCCACCCTGAAACTGAAACATAGCACACAGGATCACTCTAATGGTTCATACAGTCACAGCCACATATGACTGGAAAACAAGAGTAGTAGTAGTAGTAGTAGTAGTAGTTCCCTTTATTCTCTCATTAGCGATTCAAGATACAAATTGTCAGAAGTGGAAGGATCAAAATAGTGCTTTTTCTTTTAAATAGTGAAGTGACAGAAAAACAGGAATGTTGTAGTTGTGGAGTTTTTTCAGCGACAGGAAGAGGACATGGAATTAAGTCACTGCGGGGAAGAGGGAAAGATACAGAGATACTCATTTGGTGGGAAACTGGGATAAGGGTCACGCTAAAGTTCACCAAGGAAAACCCCTAGCAACAAACCTGGAATATTATCAGATGTTGTATTTGCAATAAGAGTCCCCCCCCACACACACACACACTTTGTCCCTTTCAGCTCCCTGTAATAAAGTATTGATTTCACCCAAATTATAAAGAAATATCTCACTTACTGGGGACTCTATTCCTGTTTTAATGTATTTTCTGAACTTCCAAACCAAAACTATCTGTATGGCTAAAGGGGGGGGAGTAGTGAGAAATAATACATTGTTTTGTAATTTGGGTGAATGGCCCTTTAAAGTACTTCCCTGCACCAGAGTATGAGCCCTAATATTCTCACGTATTGCCTCCATGCTGCAGTGCTCCTTGCATTGTTTAACCATTACTAAATATATTGTTTCATAGAGTTGATGATGCTTAGTGAGCCCGCCAAAAACAAGATGTTTTGATTCTTTTTAATGTTCCTTTGTGTCCCCAAAAGTACATCAGTATATGTAATCCATTTTAAATTTCACAGCTCTCATGTAGTGATTTGGTATTTGCTTACTCTAATGAATTAAAGTTGCTTTACAATCCCACTTCAAACAGTAATGATCAGAAGCAAAAAGTATTATTTTCAGCTTCGTAGTTGGAAAATAATTTGGCGTATGGCAGCAGCATACTTTTAAAAAGAAAAAGTTACTTTCAGTTCACCAGTTTTCCTTTCCTCTTTATCACGCCTGCTGATCACCTCCTGTCCACCTCCAGATTCCCTCCTGGCGTGGTGGGCGTTGCCCCCGGCGGGATTCCCGGACCTATGGAGGGGTTGGTGCCTGGGGGAGTGCCCATCGCCCACACCCTGCCCCCTGGTACCCATCCGTCACAGGCCACCTCCCCCAACCAACCCTCCAAACATGGCGACCCCATGAGAGAGCACATGACTGAGCCGTAGGACTGCTGCCGCAACCGAGCAAAAGGGGGGGCTAAAACCCGATGTAAACTTAAAAAAAACCCAGCGACCGACCAACTCAACCATCCAACTTGTACGCTTGACTTCAGCCATCTGAACCTACCAGCAGACTGCCTGCCGGGCAACGTTTCACACGTCTTCTTTTTGTATGAAACCACTAAGCCCAAGTGAGGACAGCGGATGTTAATACACACACACACACACACGAGCTGCCACACTGAGATGGGACTGACGGTCAAACTCATGCGTCGAAGATCGGAAACCTTTCCTCCCCCCCATAATCTGTTTCTGTTCGTCCTTGATTTAAGTGATGTTTTTGTTTTTATCTTTATTTTTTGAGTATATTTTACGGAGAATTCCTCCCGACTCCTGGGACACGTTGACTTTACCACGTGCAGGATGGAAACATGACCCACGCTCCCTACTTTTAAAGGGGGGAGGCTGAAGGGACAGGGACTTCATAAACGATCCGTCGAGCCTCCGCTTTCCCTCCTTCCTCGTCAGTTTCACCCATTTCAGCGCCAACATGTCCTGTGTTCTTTTGTTTTTGTTTTTTTTAATTTTCTTCGGTTTATCCTATATTCTGTGTTTCTGTTGCAAGTGAATATCTGTTTTTGTTTTGTTTTTTCTGTTCTTCAGTGTGTGAAAATGAATGGATTTACAGTTACACGTATGTTTAGCAGACAAGAAAAGTCAGCTGATGACAACAGCAGCATCTGCCGTCTCCGTCAGAAATCTGGACTCCATCTTTGCTCCATTTTTCCAATCGTCGTGGCTGGTGGCCCCTGAATGTAGAGACAAGATGCGGGGCAGCAGATGTGGTTTCCAGTTCCAGGAAGAATATTTTGGCTTATGAGGTATAAAAAAAAAAAAAGACCCTTTTCAACCAAAAACTGGCAAGAAGAAAAAAAAGGAAACGACCATTCGTGGTTAGATATTTTCTGTTGAGTGTGTCATCTCAATTAAATATTGCTGTTGTAACTTTTCCAACTCTGCTGAACTGAGGTACCTACGATATTTGGTTATTGTCACGAACAGCGTCCCAGATGTTATCTGTTCGCATCCAAAGGACCTACAGTACATTGCAGCACCAGCTAGCGAGGTAGGAAAGTGTTTGGGAAAAAAACAAACAAATCTCTTACTGACTCAGGAAAAAATATTAACCCTCAAATATGTCCAAATCGAAACAGAAATGGAAAAAAAAACAAAAACAAGTCTGGATTATTGCTTTTCATGTCTCCACCTCTTTCTCCATTGTGGTATTTTTTTATATATCAAATGTACGTTTTTTGATGTTCAAGGTTTTCAGTCCTGTTAGATTTGTATTGCCTTGTTAAATGTTCTTATAATCATAGTCTTATGTGAACGACCCCACCCTCTCCTCCTTATAGTTTCTTTGTTTTTCTGCTCTAATGGAATCCAGCTGTGGCTCTCGGAGGCATCGTGCCCTCTGTGAACAGCAGCCACATTCATTCCTTTTAGCCCCACGACGTTAGCAAGAGACGGCTGCTAGCAGATTGTTTGGTTTTTAGTGTGAGTATTTGTATTTGTTTCTTGTACAAGGTGAACATATAGCATACAGTGCAGCTGGAAACAATAAATAAAACTTACTGTTCTGATTGATGATTGACTCTGTGGAACATTTGTGGGATATTTGATTTTCCTGGACACTTTTTTAGTTATTTAAAAGTTGCTTTAAAATCCTCTAAATTCTCAAATTCTGACATGGTCAATGTCAGAAATGTCAAAAAATAAGTTTATTGTGCAGCTCACATAAAGAAAAAGTTAATATAAATGGATTTTGTCACCTATTATTATTATTATTATTATTATTATTATTATATTTTAGTAGGTGGATAATCATGCTCCAACTTTTGGAAATACAGTTCCCATAATGCTTGTTAACAGGATGTGTATTATGATGTTTTGCTATGGGCTACTACCTAAGCCCTATATTACTTTATATTTTAGCAGACCATCATTAAAAGTATGCCGAATTAGCCGTTAGCAGTTGGTGCCTGCAGTGTATCCATTGACGTACAGACAGATATCCCTGGATTACTTTGATACTGAAGACAATTAATAAATGTGTTCATTCTCAGGCAGGTTCTTTGGAGTTATAAGATGCATCATTTTTTATGATTTCTAAGTGGATTGATGACTGTTTATAAGCGATGGACCTCAACTATGATGATATCCTCAAATCTAAAAAATATGTGTATCGTGTATGTGTGGTTGTAATTAAAAGGTGTAGTAGGGTTAGGCAGAGCAGGGGCGTGTCATGACTTCCCCATCCTGTGAAAAAAATATCGCCCACGGTACACTTCCTGTGTAGAGCCAGACAAAGTTAACATTTAGCAGCCGAGGAGCCAAATATTTTTCCAATTGTGAAAAATAATGGTCCGTCTGCAGACAGTATTTGTAACATTTCAACAGATTCAGCAACTGTTTTTTGATATTACACCACTCTTGGTCAGGATATATCCATAAATTGTCACATAATATAGATAATATGGTTAACATTTACAGCCAAAGCAAAACAGTTGAAATGTTACAAATAATCTCTAAACTATCTGTAGGTGGACCGTTCAAATAGTCAGTTATTACAAGTTAACACACTATATTGTAGTTGTAAGGAGATAAACAAACATTTTAAGTGTTTATTAATGTATAATGTCAATCAAATGTGTCAATCAAAAGAAAGGTAATAGGCAACTGTTTTGATAACCTCCAAACCAACATTGGTTGGACAAAACTTGAATTCTAGGAAACTGTGAAGAAACAGTAAAGTAACGTCAAAGTAATCGATAGTGGAAATAATTATTAGTCGTAGACCTTCAAGCTTAATAATCATGACTTTACCAACACATTTATACTACATGTCTTTACATCTGCTTACAAGTACATTATAGTGCATTATATATTGTTTATTTATATTTTGTCAGAAGTGTTCATTTCTTTATGACTTTCAATTGACCTGCTGATACTTACGTGCCACACATTTTGAATCCACTAGGGGGTGCTACAGAAATGTGCTTCAAAAACATACTGTGAAAGTGACACATAATTCCTATTTAAAGAGAAATCTAGCGACATGATGATGACAGGTTAAGTGTTTCTAATCTGAATTAAATATGTAAAACAGCTTTAACCGATACATGAAATAACTAATCAATCACTAATATCAGAAAGAAAACAGTTTAGTTAGACATTCAAAAAGGTTTTCCTTTATTTTTTTCCTTATTTGCCTGTTCTTTGCGTTACACTCTGTATAGTGAAGTCAGGCCTAAATCCACAAACCATCAGTCACAACTGCAACTATTGCATAAATACAAAGCAACATACAGGTGATGCTCAAAAAAATGTGTATGACTTGAATGAAACACGAAAGAGGGTTACAGTACGCCATGGCAAAGGAAAAACAAAATGCAAACATTCACAGCAAAAAAAAAAGTAACGACAACGCGTGTTTTTTTCTTTTTTTTTCCTGTCAGCTTTGGTTTTATATGTTGCCGTCACTCACAACGACCTTGATCAAAAACGTAAAGGTGGTTTCACATAATGAAAACAAACAGGCGTCGCAGAGGAGGTGAACTGACGTGTACCATGAGGGTGACCTTGACAACAAATGCTATAAGGATGGGGGGGGGGGACAACGAGACGAGTGTGACTTCTGGGTTTATGTCGACATTGAACGCGTCTCACTCCCACACGTCTGCCCAAGAAAAACAAAAAGCACCAGATTTTAGGCATCCAGATGAGGTACTAAATCGCACGCAACGACATAAGTAAACTTTTCACTGATGGTCATGATTGGTTCTTTCCTCACAGCAACAGTGTTTCTGTGCAATGTGTCTTCATCAAGATTGAGAGAATAATTAACAAAACCACAAAAAGGAGAGAAAAAAAATATACAGAAAGCTCTTATTAGCTCAAATAAGTTTCCAAACAATAAATATGTAGTTCAGAGAAGAAAAAAAACACACACACACACACACACACAACTTCTCAGTTCAATCAGTCTGAAAAAAAAAGGTAAACCAAAGATCCAACATGAATGTTTGTGTGTGAAACCTCAATGAGTGTAGATTCGACTTGTAAAGGGAACATCTCCCTTTTCAAGAGCTTCATATATGACCTTAATTCAAGCAATGATACTGTATTTATATAGAAATGTTTTAATAAATGTGCAGTGCTTATTAATAAGGATTAAAGTCTTTTATTATTACACAATCTCTGGTTCTCTAAAGATAATGATATTTATTGGCTTTGTCCCTGCCCATTCAAAAACAAAATGCTAAAGAAGCCAACTCTTATACAACTGGAAAAACATCAAAAAGATCAATTTGGAAGTGTGCTTTTGTCAGTGCCCACACTGAACAGATATAAAGTGTTGATTTGAGTCAATGCTGGTATATTTCCTTATACTCTTTTTTTTTTTTTTTAAACAACCACATGCATTTACATCTATGGATAAAGTTTCCTTTTTTCCTTTACATTTGAAAATCAAACAAATCAAAAGGTCGTTTGCATTCGTAAACCTTTATTCTCCCGATTCTGTGCTGAGCAGCAGCGGAGTCTGTAAAGTGTTGAATGTGTTTTAAGTGTTAACCAAGTGCCTGCGTGTGCTAGAGGAGTAGCAGTGTCTTCTGTCAGAGGTGGAAGGTGGGTGGGGGGGCCTCTGGTTCCCTGTCCTCTCCTGAAGGCTTTCACAGTTTGTCCGTGTCAGGAAAGGAAAAAAATTAAAATAAAAGGAAAATAAACTGTAAGAGAAAGGAGGAGGGGAGGTGTCCTGCCCCCTCCCCCTCCCCCACCCCCCACTTCAGTTTTGTCAC